AATGAAAATCCAAAATCTCTGTAAATGTTCATTAAAATTAATAAAATTTTTTTTTAAAAGTTAACAAAAAGTTCCACCCCAAGAACTGACAATAAACAGCAAATTAACCACCTTGAGAAAAATGTCAAACCGATTCAAGCATTATTCTTAAACATTACATCATACTTCAACTAATTGCTCTTGTTGCTGTTGTGATTGTAACATCAAGTTGCCTGCAACTCATTAAAAATGAATTAAAAGGCGAGCTCTGGTGGCCTAGTGGCAGGAAACTGCACTGCAATCCCAGAGGTGTGTGGTTCACATCCACCAGATGCTTTGCTGAAGAAGGAGGAACGGTCGCCTCCTGTACCAGTCAGATCCAATTTGATAGTACACGCATAAAAAAAAAAAAAAAAGAATTAAAAAGCATTACTAACTTTCTTGAAGCATGTCATACCAGTTATTAATACCAATCATCAATAAGAAGTTATCTCATTCTCATGCTAAAACCTCAGTCGAAAAAGACTGCTCACTGTTGTGGAGAGTGATCCTTATTTCTAAAACGGTGGCCTTTACAGGGTCTCTGGTAAAGCTTGGGAGTTGAGATCGTTCCATTCAGTTGCCTTGAATGCTCTCATCTCCCAGCATTCTGTGACGTGGTACCTTCTATCTGATTTCACTCTTGGGGGAGTTTCTTTTTTTTGCTAAGCTTGTGCTCATTGCTAAGACATGTACAATCCAGGTTTAGGACAAAACTTAAGCACACTTTTTATCAGGGTTTGAGTGCTACTAACACAGCTCCTTTCCCTCCCTAAAACTGCACTAAAGTTTCTGTACTTCCTCAGCTCATTAATACTTGTGTTCTGTTCAGCCTTTACGTCTCTTCCCTTAATTAAAGAATAATCCAAAGAAGAGAGCAAAGGTGACCTCAACAGAGAAAAGGAAAGTATGAAAAATAACCAATTGTGGATGGAGTTCCTGGCAAGATGGCGGCCCAGACCCTCTACAACAAAGACACCACAGAGAAGAATACTAGATAGACCCCTAGGTGTCAAAGGAAATGACAAAGAAGGAGTTCAAATACCAAGTGAAGGAAGAAACAGAATGAAAACATTGAATAATAAAGCAGACACAGAACTTCAAATGAACACAACATTAGGCGTTTTACACTTCTGCAGACAGCATACTGATCAGAACAAGGGGTACAGCAGTGCCAATAGTAACTGGCTGATGACAAGAAAGGTATGCGCTCTGCTCTTTGACCTCCATACTCTCCTGAGGATCAGAGATGTGATCTCCATTCCTCCCAGATGGCCTCAGACTCTAACCCTGCCCTGCCTGAAATTGGGTTTACATCACTGTGTACTGAGTGTGAAAAAGCACACAGCTCCACATTCCGAAACACTGACTCTCTCCTCTTGGTGCTGGTGAAGGATGCCATATCCAAGTGGGAGTATGGCCTGCAGTCAGCCCCCAGAATTAACAAAAGTATCATCTCTGACAGGATCCCTGCCCCTAGCACCTCCAAGATTGGCAGATACTGTCCCTCACTGGATGCCCTGATGGATTCAATGCCTGGCGTAAACCATATTTGTGTTTGGAACTGGGCACTCCTGCCTCTTGGACACAGTTACATGTGCCACATTTGGTCACCTCTAGGTTGGCAGTGACTGTTCAGGGCAGAACAGCCCTGTAGGTTTGGCATCAGTTGTACAATGTCCAGGCTGAGGAAGCACAAGGACTCCCCTCATGTAGGATGAAGTAAGGTACCATCTGAACTGGTACCCACCTACAACTGACCTTTTGGTGTAACTGAGGCTGCCTCTGACAGGGCACCTTGTAGGTATGACACCAAGCACATCCTACCCCTACATTTGAACACGATGTGTTCTCCACTTACTCATGAAGCCAGAGTGAGCCATACCTAACTGGGTTCTCTGCCTTCACCCATCCCTCAACTGTCAGTGACACTGTATCTGTTCAGTCAGACTGCAGGAGGTACTTCAAATGCCAGCAGAAACTCTGTCCCAGGCAGAGTGT